AACTGGTCATCGAGACTGTTGGAGGCAGGCTGATAAGGAAGGAAGACTCTCAGATGCTGGACCTTACGGTGAAGGGGATTCATCAGAAGACCAAGAAGACCTTGAGAAGAGTCCGGACCATCGACGAGTTGAAGCTTGCACCGCAGTTCCTAGAAAAGAAAAGGATAGAAGAGTGTCAACACTTGAAGAAGATTGCTGACTCTCTATATTATAAGGGGGAGTCACCACAGCTGCTCATCGGTCAAGACAACTGGGAGCTAATCGTGACTCAAGAAGTAAGAAGAGGGAAACCAGGACAACCAGTCGCTTCAAGAACAGGACTTGGATGGGTGCTCCACGGGTCAGACACTGGAGGCGCGAAAATGGTGCACTTCTTAAACACGTGTCTACATGTCAGCACGCCAGAAGAAGAGATGCATCAAGCCATCAAGGATCACTTCGCAATCGAAGCACTTGGAGTACTACCAAGAAGACCCACTACGGATTCAGAAGGAAGAGCACTCACCATCCTAGAGAAGACCTGCAGAAGACTAGAAGATGGTCGATTTGAAGCTGGACTTCTATGGAAAAATGAAGATGAACAGATGCCTGAAAGCTACACGTCTGCCAAGAACCGATTGTTCAACATTGAAAAGAAGATAGACAAAGACCCTCAGCTGAAGGCAGAATACAATAAGCAGATCCAGCATCTAATCGACAGCAAGTATGCAGAAGAAGCACCTGGTGGACAAGAAGATTCAAAGAAGACATGGTACCTCCCTCATTTCTCCGTGGTACATCCATTGAAGAAGAAAATAAGGATCGTCTTCGACGTTGCAGCCAAGTCTAAAGGGAGAAGCCTCAACGACACTTTACTACCGGGACCAGACCTACTGCAATCGCTCTTCGGGGTATTACTGAGGTTCCGGCAAGGCCCGTTTGCAGTGGCAGCCGACATAAAGGAAATGTTCCTGCAAATTCGCATCCGGCCAGAAGATAGAAACAGCTTGAAGTTCCTGTGGCGAAATAAAAGGACTCTCAAGGTTTCGGTTTAGGGAAATTTTACTCGAAAAATGAGCTCAAAGTACGCGGCCATGGTCGCGGGAGAGACTACTTTTAACGTCGCAAAATCTACCTACAAAAATTATGTAACGATAAGTTGGAACAAAAAAGAAATTGCATTTACATAATATGTCCAATTTAAAAAAAACGGAGTAATAGTTCTATGCAAAATGTAATTATAATAATTACCTAATATTCGAATGTATATTGTTGTTGCGCTGTAATGCCTCAAAGAATTTCAACGAAGTTTGTATATATGTACCTAGCTATGTAGCTTCTTTACTGAATCACAAATAAATATCGGAACCAAAACACTTTAGGCGCAAAATGAAAGATTTCTTTTGTTATGAAAATAATAAGAAGTTTTATTAACATAGGTAGATTTATCTTCAGTATAGAACTATAATGATTTTTTTAAATAAAACTATCTTTTCGGATTTATTCGCGGATTTATTTTGATTTTTGACAGACTGTAACAAGTATATAAGAAATAACCTTTGAGACATATAAAACCTCGGTCTCTCCCGTGACCATGATTGCTGTAAAGCATTCGCAACGTCGGGAACCAAAAATCAAAATAAATCCGCGAAATAATCCGAAAACATAGTTTTATTTAAAATATCAAATATTCGCGTAAATCTAAGAAAGTATTAATTTAATTTTAGTTTTTATATATACATAGGTATATAATTGAGGCGACTTATACATACAAGCGACGATTCATCGAAATACATTATTTGAAATGTATGTTTTCAAACTAATGATGAGTGGTGGAAAGAAAGGCAATTTTATAAAATATTAAAAACGAGATATTATTTACTTTAAGATAAGAAATAAAATATAAATACCTTTTCAAGTAATATAGTAACCGATACATTCAATTGCTGCAATAAATTATTCTAAGAATAGGTGCAGCTTTCATTCCACGAACCGTGATTTCTAACGCACCCCGACTTTTACCGGGAAATGGCGCCAAATGCGGGGTACAACAGATAATAATCTAAATTTATATTTTTTTATTTAATGATGTTGTTCTAAGAATAATGTTGGTCAGCATTTTATATTACGGAGCAAAGTTTGAGTAAATTATAAATAAGCTGTTATTAAATGATAGATAATAAATAGAATAATAAAATTAAAGTAGAAAATATATAGGATATTTTAAGTTGTATGAAGATTATAATGTAACACTATTCAATAAGCATAATTATAATTAGCATGTAATATTTAAATATTAAATCTAAAACTTACAGACTAAATAATTTATTATTAAGTTATTCATTTTCACGTACGTATTGATGTGTGTATTACAAGCGTTATTTATGAATTTGATACTTCAAAGCGGGTTTACTATTCCTAATGAACGCTCGCGAAATTGTTCGTATATCGTGTACCAAATACCACATTATATAAGGTATTTCGTTGGAATAAATGTAGAACTTTGCGGTTAAAACGCGATGATTAACAGCGGCTAGAGTTACCTTATAACGTTACATAGGATACAGATAAAGGTATAGTGTTACAGAGTGTTTTTGAAATTGAAAATGGGAAGGCGTTTGTAATTTGAAATTTTAGTAGCTTTATGTTATTCAAAATATTATGTTGGTCTTCCTCTTGTGACCTTTAAGATTTTTTTTTAATATTATGAAAAAAAATTTAAGTATGTTTAAAAAAAATACCACCTTATACTATCTCCTCTTATAGTAGAAACTATTTATCAAAAGTGGGGGATTATTCCTACTCTTATTGTTAGTTGTCAATTAGCTGTAACGCGCTCGGAAAACAAAGTGAAGCAGGTTCAAATCCTGGCTTGCTCTGAGAATTTTCTTGTGCGAATCATTTATAACATGATTGCTACTTGCTAATACGGTTAAAACATTCTGATCGTTAGGACACCTACCTGTCTGAGACATCCAAACTAGGTTTTGAGAGTCGTGTGAAGCCCAACAATCCACATGTGGCCAGTGTGGTCTCACATAAAGGGAAGACCAGTGCCCAGCAGTAGGACGTTGTAAAGGGTTTGATACGCTATTTGTTTTCCGTTATTTCAGCGATAGTTACAAGGCACTAGCAAATACCGAATATTATACAAACAGATAATGAATTCAGGATATACTTAGATATATGATTATGTCTTCATAGACAAAAAAACTGATATAATAAATATACTTATTAGTTACATAAAATACTAGTTACTTATCGTCCACATGGTACACGTATGTAGATAAAAACAGCATAAATGTTATTCAATCAATATAATCAGTAAAGCTTTCTAAAAGTACAATAATTCTTAGAATCGGGCCAAAATTCCAAAAAAATTTCTCTGCGTAAAAACATACAAATTTTTACTTTTTAATATTGTAATATAATATTCTATGTAGGTACCTATCTAAAATATTTTACCTACCTATAAAATAACATGGTATATAATAATTCAATACCGTTTACTTAATATATAATTGTCACTACCTCTGCAATCGAAAGCGAGTTCGCGAATTCAATCTCTGTTCAAGACTCGTACAAGAACGTCTAAACAGATGTTTATAATAAATAATAAAATAAATATGTTGGGATATTAATACACAGCACCATCTAGTTCCATGGTAAGCTACGAGGCTTGAGTTATGTATACCAGATAGTTGGTACACTAAATATATATAAACTTTAGATACATACATGCTATAAATATAAACACCCATGACTGGAGTACAAACATTTGTGCTCATCACACAATCAACCATTTATCGAACCCGCTACCGCTGGCACAGCAACTAGGGTCACTACACACTGAGCCAAACTTGTCGTCAAAAATAATAGTATTTATAATAATAATAGTTAATATTTATAATAATGATAGTTAATATTTATAATAATAATACTTAATATTTATAATAATAATAATAGTTAAATACCATTACCATACCATTTAAAACTGAAAGGAATCTACTTACCTTTTTTATTGCAAATGTGGCAGACGAGAAATCCCCCTTTTACAATAAAAAAAGAAGACAATACTTTGAGGTGCCATTATGTCTACCCAGCAGGAGAACGTCAAGCTACTCAACTAAAACAACAATAATCGCTAATAGTTTTATTAATAATAGAGCTAGTAAAAGTTGGTGCTTATTTCATATTAGGTACCAAATTTAAATATCTACAGGATAAGTATACCTATCGTTATGTTATCTGTGGTGTAGTTATATTTATTTGTGTTCAGTATTTTTATTTACGCTCTATGTTATGCACTAAAAACCAATGAAACCCAAAGAAATAACAATAAAAACTTTGATACGAAAATACTTATATTATTTGAAAATATTTTTAACGATATAAATTATCAAGCAATAATTCAAATGAAATAATAACGCGAGTAAAGCTCAAATATCTAACAAATCCGATCGGCGATCGTTAGTCCGCCACAGGATATTAATAAGGCCGATAACGAGATATCATTGTTTTTATTTGTAAACGAGCTGTAATAATGAATGAATACCTATCGCGTTACCGAGCTGGGCTTTATAAAAAAATTAAGCTACATTGCTTATATTTTTGCATAGAATACAAAATGGGAAGATAGCATCCGCAAAATTTTTAAAGGAAAATTTTATATATTTTTGTATCTAGCCATTAAAAATGTGACCAAAAACGGTTTTTAGAAAAACTTTAACGGTTATCGGTGTAGTCATGTTTATTTCTGTTATAGACAAAGCAGATTAAATATCCAAAATACATAACAATATCCTCCAAAACCTTTTTGTTCTACATTACATTTTAGGTAATGTACGAGATTAAGACAAAAAATAAAAATGATCAATAGTCTAATCTCACGATGTCTCGATCATAAATACTTTTTAGATATTTTCTTTTCAATTCGGTGCTAGTATAAAAAACGTTCACCGATCGATACTAAAAATTTGATGCTGAATAAGTGTTATAATTTACGTATTTTTTTTCAACAGATGAATGTTCCTGGTGCAATAAGAACATCACTAGTGAAAGCGGAGCGCTACAGCAAGGAGGAGCTGTGTTCTGTTCTGAATTATGTTTTAGTCAATCGCGAAGAGCAAATTTTAAACGTGCTAAGACTTGCGATTGGTGCCGGCACGTGCGACATACTGTTGCTTATGTCGACTTTCAGGTATCTACATTTTTATTAAGCTCATATGTATGCATCGATTAAAAAAGTACTAGATACACAATCAGTGATAAAAAATGTCCTCATCGAATGAGCGCTCATTTGAACATTTGAGCGCACTTTTAATTTTTTTTGTGAAAACAGCTTTAAGCGTTGCAGTTTACAGTTAGAATTACCTAAACACAATTGGAACTTTTGTATTGGATTGTGTATCTAGTGCTTTTTGGATCGATGAATTTATATTTAAAAGAGTTTATAATTAAATGTATAATTTATAAAAATTTACATATTGTTGAAAAATAGAAAAATTATTTATAGTATTGAAATCGATTTTAATTTACTCAATCTATATTTTTTATCCTTTCAGGATGGTGCAACGCAACTCCAGTTCTGTTCAGACAAATGTCTCAACCAGTACAAAATGCACATTTTCTGTAGAGAAACACAAGCGCACCTTGATCTCAACCCACATTTGGTGAACGCTTCATCTTCATCAAGTCTAATAACACCGGATCTTTGGCTAAAGAACTGCAAGAGTAGATCAGTGTCGCCAGCATCTGATCGCTCAGTATCTCCAAATATAGAGAAAAACCAAAGTAATGATAAAACAGAAACACCTGCTAACCACAGAAAATCTCCACTTCCATTAATAACAGTAGCTCCGCCAGCAAAACTAATGAATCCAAAACCTGTCGAGGAAAGACCGATTCAAAAGTCACCGGAAGCAAAAAAAGATATGAGAAACACAAAGATGAATTTGCGAAAGCGTAGAGCGTCTAAATGTTCAGCGACAGTGACGTCGCAAACGGTTCGACACAATTCCACTCCTAAGGCGCAAGATATTAAAATGCGAAGTCCGTCTATAGATGCTTCGTCACCTGCTTCTTCAATCACTGTGGGAAATAACGTCATACATTCCCCACCTCATCCTATGAACCATCCAATCCCACCCCCATTTCAAAATCCCATGTTCGGAATGCCTCCACCGGTGTTCTTAGAAAACAGCCACATGAGCGATCACAGGCATCCCATGTTTGCACCTAGACCCTTCTTACCACCAGGTATGATACCACAAGAAAGACCTAGATTGTTTCCCCCATTAAACTATCCCCCACTAGGCCAAGCTCCACCTGTTACAATTTTAGTCCCCTATCCAGTAATATTGCCAATACCTTTACCAATTCCTATACCAATACCACTTACGTCTTTCATTCAAGCACATCGTGCTAGTAAAGTAAAAACAGAAGTAAACAACGATGATACTGAGGGCCCCCTAGATTTTACAATGAATGGAGATAAAAAGAAAAATGATGAAAGCGTCAGTGACACAAATAATGAAACATTGGACGTTGAGGAAAAAACAAATGATCGGAATAACGATTTTAATGAGAGAATAGACGATATATCAAATGAGTCTGTTGAAACGAATCCAGAGCAAACTTTGCCAAAATTTAAAATAACTCGGTTAGGTAACAAAATGGCAAAAATTGTGACAAAACCTCGTGAATCAGCGGAATCATCCAGACCATTAAGAAAAAGACGAAGATTAGTCGAAGCGACAGAGGACGACTCACTCATTCCTAAATCAAGGAAAATTGTACAAGTGTAAATATTTTAAATTTAAATTTAATAAAACTTTCAACTAGGTATGTATAAAATACAAATAATAAGGTCAACACGTAGCATTAACATTTTTATAAAATATATTTCGAATAAAATTCTTGAATCATTACGCACATAAAGTTATACACCTACGTACAAATAGGTTAATGCTACCAGGTATTTATGTTGATTAAAATTTTAAGATTAATTATTATCAAGAATAATAAAATATACAGAGACTAATAAATAATAAAATACTTTTGAATATAGATAAAAAATATGTAATAAAAAAATGCTTTCCGTCTGTGTAAAAATAAGGTGCAATAGGTAACCAAAATATTAATAAATTATATTTTCCCCTATCCAGTTGGTAATTACTATGGGAAAATTTTATTAAAATAATTATCTTTCATACATATCACAAAGCATTATAATTCGAATAAAGTTCATTATTTTCAAGCAACTAGTCCTAGATGTAAGGTAATATCTCATTAAATTAATTAGAAACACTGTAAATGTGATATTAGTAACATTATTCTATTATATAATAAAGTTTTAAGATAAAAAGTTTTATTTATTTTAGATATTAAGTTATTTAGTCACTTTGGTACTTCATTAGTAAAAAATTTTTGTAGATTTATTTGTTTGTCATTGCTTTTCAAAATCTAATTTCTGTTAAATATGAAACCTTATGTAAAGTATCATTTTATCTGTATTTATTTCGTCGATACAAAAATGAAATAAGATTTTTTAAATTTTTATCTGTCTGTCTATTACATCATCATCTGGTACATACATCACCTGACCGATTTGAATGCCTTTTCGCGAGGACGATTTGATTTTTTTAAATTTTAATCCTGTTAAAAGCAAGTGAACAAAAGAGCTCTTTTGAATATTCATTTATTTTGAAAAAAATAGCCATACTTATTTACCTATAGATTGGAGCTTTATGATCTTTCATTTCATTGATTTGTTATTGATGTTTATGTAAGATTTATAAATAGGAAAAAAATATTCCAAAAAGGTTTATTTAAGTTTTAAAAATAGTCTAAGTAAAAAGAAAACTAAAATAATGCGTTCTAAAATTAAATTTTCGTAATTTAATGAATATTACCAATTATATATATATATATATATATATATATATATATTATGTGGTAATATTCATTAAATGGTACATATACCATTATGAATATACCATTTTCGTAACTAATGATGTGCATATTTCAATATGACTTTAATTTTTAAAACACAGTTAAAGGTAATTTAAGAACGTATTAAATGAAATTTTATTAATAATAACAAATGTATAATAAATTAATTTCACATATTTTAGTTACCTAAGTATATTATATACCTAATATACATGATATGAAATACCATTATAGATTAACGCCATCTATCGTCTATTTAAGCAAACAAAAATACCATAAAGTACTGCCCAAATTAGGTCTGTTCAAATGCATTGTATGGATGTGTTTGTACAATAATTTACTATAAATAAATAAATAAATATGTTGGGGCATTAACACACAGCACCATCTAGTTCCATGGTAAGCTACGAGGCTTGTGTAATGGACACCAGATAGTTGACACACTACACATATTATGTTACTTTAGATACATACATATTATAAATATAAAGACCCATGATTGAAGTACAAACATTCGTGCTCGTCACACAAATGAAGGCCCCCAGCGGGACTCCAACCCGCGACCGCTGGCTCAGCAAGTAGGGTCCTTACAAACTGAGCCAAACGTATCGTCAAAACTCTCAAACTATAGATCATAGTGAAAAATAAAAGTAATTAAGTACATACTTCCTCGTTGGTCTAGTCTAGTGGCAAGTATTTGCGGCTGCGTATCCCAGCATGCCTGCAGATGCAAATCAAGATGTCGTCCCATCGGAATTTGAAATAGAAATGGAGAGTGCACTTGTGTTTGCTTGCATATTTGTGCACTAAATATCCATATAAGTAAGATTGGCCGCCGTGGCCTAAATCGGTCAGGAAGAAATAGGTAATTACTTACATACTTATTACGTAAGCTAATACAGCATTGATATTCTACGTGATGCACTTAGTAGATAATTTACTTAATTATTTCTGAAGTAATGAATTTAAAATAATCTATGGTGACGCGAAGTCAGTGATACCTAGTTTCAAAATATGCTGTATCTGTACAGTAAACAAACCACTATACAGGTACTTACTTAATTTAATAAATAACGTGATATAGTCGTCTCTAATGTAGTAAGTTGTAAGCGGAGCGAAAAGAAAAGGTAGTCTATGTCCGTCCTCGTGATGCAATCTATAACAAATTTAAATGAAATCTATTCCGCAGCTTAAACGTGAAAAGGTAACTGGCATACAGTTAGAATTTTGTTTGATATTTCTTTACCGAAGGCGGAATTCGTTTTAGCGCTACACTTAGAAAATATTGACTGTACGTAAACATAAGTCGGTATATGAATAATTTACAATGACTCAAATTTTATGGTAGATTATTTTATACATTACTCCCTTGTACATAAGATTTAACATGTAACGTGTAGGAAGATTTCATCAGCTCAAGACTCTAGTTTATTTAATTTAATATTAAATGTTTTTAACAAATTAAGAAAAAGGTTTCATTTTAACCATTTGGATTAAATATAGTACACGTTTATACACTAGGCATCTTTTTCAGCGTAGCCCAATGTTAGTAATATTTGTCAATAGGTGGCGGTGCCTGTCTGTATTATCATAAATATATATATAAAAAATTCTAACTCAGCCGAATCTGTACATTTTTTTTTTTGAAAATTTTATTGAAAAAGAATGTCTATTTCAATAAGATTTAAAAAAATATATATATTATCGATAGAGGCCGAATCTATAGATTTTAGAATTTTTGTCTGTCTGTTGTTATATTAAATTAATATTATATTAATTAAAATAAAACTACATGATAGCTTAAGAATTCATCTTGTAATGTCATCATTTTATGTTTCCTCTAATTTATACTAACATCATAAAGTTTGTATATGTCTTATAAAATTATAAAATAAACTAATACAACATCTCCCTTTTTAAACTAAATTAAACAGCATGTTAAAAACATAAACAAAAAACAACATTAAATAAGTAACTCTAGTATATGGAAACATAATTAAATTAATTAGGATATCTTACTGGCGGACGAACAGTACGGCCATAAGACGTTGTATAGAAACCCTCTTCTCTATTACTAGTTGTTGGGGCATTCAAGTCTACATCACTTGAAGGACAAGTACTGTATTCGGATTCAGAACTATCGTCAGAATCATAATTACAAGGTTATATAAAACCTATTTCTTATAAAAAACTTATCATTACTCTTTATCCTATACGTTCTACTGTTTAATATATCCTTTATCACTCCTTTCCTCCAGAATCTCCCTACCTTAAATAAAAACTATCTCTCCATAAGCTAATTTTCTTAATTGAGTTTTGTTCCTATTATAGTAATATTTATCGTTTTCTTGTCGTGTCTGTAAATTTTTCTTAAGTTTTTATTAACTTTTGGAAAGAACATGTTTTTGTTCATAGGAATAATACCTCTAAGTTTCCTATGAAATAAATTTTCGGTGGTGAAGGAATGATATTCGAATTGGAGTATTACAAAACTCTAACAAAACTAAATACGGATCTCTACCATCATGTAATGCTTTCTTAAGAAGTTTTTTTATAGTTTGGATTTCTCGTTCAACCAAAACCGTTTGACTGTGGGTACCCTGGACTAGATCGAATATGTTCAAAATGATAATCTCGAGAAAATTTATTAAAAATGTCACTGGTGAATTGTGGGCCCCGTCACTCATTACCTGTTTGGGTTATACAAACCGACTAAAAATTTGCTTCAATTTATTAATGATTTCATCACTTGTAGTGGATTTCAAGAGGGGCAACTTCTGGAAATTTGGATAAATAATCTATTACTAGTATATAAGTATGACCATTCCATTCAAACAGATCAATTCCAACTTTTTCCCAACATAATTCTGCACCGGATGCGGTATTAGTGTTTCTCTTTTATTATTTGTTACTAAAAAGCTTACATGTTTCACATCGAGATATCAAGTCTGTTATTTCATGAATCATACCAGGCCAATACATAGCGTCATTTGCCCTTAATAAAGTTTTTGTAATCCCTAAATGAGGATAGTGTAAACGTCTTAACATTTCTTTTCTTAGTTCATAAGGTACTACTATACAATCACCTTTAAATATTAAGTTAGATTTATATGTTAAACTATCTCTAACATGCCCAATATTGTCTGATATCTTCAGGTAAAGAATTTTTTATGATCAGGCCACCCATTAACAATCACATTCTTAAGTAATCTCATTTCATTATTACTTTCAGTCAAATTCTGAAAGTCACCTAATTGGACTCTGACTAATATTTAAAGTAGAAATCATCATATTAATATTAGCCTCAATATTCTTTTCATCTAGATCAATTTCTAGCATTTCATTTTCGTTAAATGACCTTGATAAAGTATCTGCTATATATAACTCTTTACCACGCTTATACACTAAATCAAATTTCATATTTAAGTAATTTTATTAACATACGTTGAATTCGCGGTGAGCAAGAATTTAATGGTTTTTTAACAAATGCCTATTAAAGGATTGTGATCCGTTTCAATGATTATTTTCCTGCCAAAAATGAACTGGTTAAACTTTTCACAACCAAATAAAATTGCAAGCAATTCTTTTTTCTATTTGTGCGTAACGCTTTTGGCAATTCGTTTAATGCTTTTGAAGCATAAGCTACCGGTAAACCATTTTGCATTAAAACAGCACCAAGACCATCTTTTGAAGCATCCACGGACAAAACAACGGGAGCTTTTCATTAAAAAATTGCAATACTGGTTTATTAATTAATTTATTTTCAACTCATTAAAAATTTTTGTCATGTTCGTGTAGCCACTCAAAGTCAACATCTTTTTTAAGTAAATTTCTTAAAGGTGAAGTTATAGCTGCGAAATTTTTAATAAATTTTGAGACATAATTTACTACTCCTAGAAATCGTTCTAGTTCTTTCCTATCCCTAGGCCGTTTCATTGATATAATCGAAGTAATTCTACTATTGTCTAAAGTTATACCATTTTTATTTATTATATGACCTAAATATTTTAACTCAGGGACGTTAATTTTACATTTTTCTTTATTGAGTTTTACATTTTCCCTTCTAAGTCTATCAAATACCTTTCTTAATCTAATATCATGTTCTTCTTTCGTCTTACCCCAAATAAGTATGTCATCAATATATACTTCTACGCCTTCTAAATCTTCTAATATTTGACGCATTCTATGCTGATAAACTTCTGAAGCACTACATAGCCCAAAGGGCATTCTCAGAAACTTATATCGACCAAATGGTGTATTAAAAACAACATAAATCAGAACTTTCTGGTGTTAATTTTATGTTCCAAAAGCCATTTTTAACATCTAAAGTACTAAAAAAATGACGCACCTGACAGTTTGCTAGTAATTTCGTCTAACGTTGGTAATTCAAAATGTTGTCTTTGTATTGCATTATTCAGATCTTTAGGATCTAGACAAAGTCTTAAATCACCATTAGGTTTGTAAACAATGACCAAGGAGTTTACCCAATCAGTTGGATGCGTCACTTTACGTATGACATCTAAGTTCTCTAATTCATCTAATTTATTTTTTAAAAGAGGCTTTATTGCAAGTGGAACTCTTCTACTCGCATGTACAAACAGGTGAGGCATTAGGTTTCAATTTTATATCATATTCACCTTTCATACAACCTAAGCCATGAAATAAATCGTCATACTTTAAAGCGAAATTAGATTCATTAATTTGTATATAGGATTAACTATCCCATTTTAGTAGCAGATTCTAAACCTAAAATATTGCATGCTTTATTCGCATTCACGACAAAAAAGTCAAGTGAGTAATTTTTACCTTCGAATTTTTATACGCAGGGAGCACTTGCCTATGCATTTGATTGGCTCACCTGTATATGTTGCAAGTCTAGCTTTTGACTGAATAAGATTATTTTGATCTAAACCTAAAACAGATAAATTACTAGCTAATAAGATATTTGCTTGAGCTCCTGTATCTACTTTAAGTGTAAGAGGTATATTATTTACTCCTACTGCTACAGTCCAGTCTCTTGAACTTCTATCAACTGAACTTACAAAAATCTTTTCAAAATGCAAAATATTTACTTGCTCCTCTTCATTATCTTTATCTTCTTCTACTTCACGTAAATAATGATTATTACATTGGCTTGCAAAATGATTATATTTATTACAGCGGACGCATTTCTTCCCGAATGCTGGACATCTATTTCTTAAGTGTTGGTAACCACATCTTTTACAATTTATTTTATATTTTTCTTTATTTTTGTCATGATCTTTATTAATATTTAAGTTTTTTGCCGGTTTTATATCATACGAATTTTTATTTTTGTTTAATTTACTAATAACATTTTAACATTTTTCATAATTATAGGAATTCTCTGATCTACTAGAATTTACCGGAATGTATTTCCTCGAGCTGTTTTTTAGTTTCTTGTGAAGTTCTACATACATCTATTTGCTTTATTAAGTGTCAATTCCTTAATTTGTAAAAGACGATCTACAACAGAAATGTCTAAAATTCCACAAACCAGCTTATCTTTGATGAGGACTTTCTGTAAGAACTCCAAATTCACATGAAGCACTCAAATCTCTTAACTCAATTATGTAATCTTCATACGATTCCCCTTGTTTTTGACTCCTAGTAAAAAATTTGTATCTTTCGTATGTAACATTTCTTTCCGGATTAAAATGTTCTTCAAATTTCGCTATAACTTTATTAAAATTATTCTTGTCCTCAGGTTTATCAAATACAAAACTATTGAATAGCTTTAATCCACGGTCACCAATCGTATTCAGAAGTAGCGCTATTTTAGTTGAAGAATCTTTCTCTACATTACCAGACGCTACAATAAATATTTCATATTTTTGTTTAAATAACTTCCAGTTTTCTGCCATTGACCCCAACCAGCACATTTCTGTAGGTATTCGGACTGCCGACATATTCATCTGACCATTCATAATTCGTCTCTATCAATATATTATATTTTCTATTCTTTACATTAAATATTGTAAACTTACTTTATTTTATTATTTATATTAGGTAAATTTCAGTACCGACTGCGCCATGTTATATTAAATTAATATTATATTAATTAAAATAAAACTACATGATAGCTTAAGAATTCATCTTGTAATGTCATCATTTTATGTTTCCTCTAATTTATACTAACATCATAAAGTTTGTATATGTCTTATAAAATTATAAAATAAACTAATACAACATCTGTGACCGCATCACGTAAAAACCACTGAAGGGATTTTAATGAAATTTGGTATGATGGTAGCTGGTTATTCGGGTCATATAGCACACTTTTTATTGCGGAAAAATATCTCATCTCTGAGAAATCTATACTATACCTTAAAACATAAATAGGGACGAACCCGAGCGGGGCGAGGGAATCGCTATAGTATATGCATAAAAGTTTAGTAGGCATGGGAAAATAAAACAAAATTCCAATTTCATAGGCTTTTAATGTCTTCAAAAACGTTGCTATAAATCATTTATGGAATATATAGTCATTGCTATAATGTTTAACAAATTCTCATAGCATCTAACAGCTTGGCCACACGGATAGTACACTTACTTTTCAGTGGCGGCATTCATTATTGCAAGTTACTTAGTAAAGACATACATACAGATCAAACACATAACGCTCCTTTGGACTTTGCCACAGTCGGGTAATAACAATCCTTTTAAAATTTTGATTGTAAATAACACTTCCAGGTAAATTTCTAAGAAATTAATTAAATTTCTAAGAAATCTATTGTTAAGTGTAACGCCGGCGTGTCCGCGGTCGTGGAGGGATTAAATTTATTTCATTGTAAACAATGGCACAACTGAATTTCAATTATTGTCTCCTACAAACCATAATTGATTCTAAATGAGCAAGTATTCTAACATATAAGGTTCTATGCGTATATGCTTTTTTCCCATATTTACTTTTATTCTTAGTTATTTAATCCTTATCTAATACCGCCACTGACGTTTATACCTTATATATGATCCAGCTTTCATGCACCATTATTGTGATCACAAATTAATTAAAGCATTATTATTAAATAACAATTTAAAGGCAATATTGGCATCAATAAATCTATTACATAGTATTGTATTTGTAATTTTTTTGAAAATTATACAGATAAGTTATAAAACTAAATAATTGTATCAGTCATATAATCATAGACAAACTGAATAATAATAAAAAATATTAAGTAAATGCATAAACAGATGTGTGAGACTTATTTGAAATTATGTATTTCAGGTATTGCTTCAGTAAATGCATATAAATGGCTTATGACTTTTTATGACTTGATTTACACTATGAATGGAAGGTTTTCTTGGCATTCTTGATGATCATTTGTGGCCTATTTTTAATGTATAATATAGTTCAACGATACAGCTTATTACTTTTTAGTATTATATAAGTCCCAAAGAGTAATAGCTCCGTCAAGACCACCTGCTGCCATAATATTCGCATTCCAATATGAAACTTTTTGGGTAGAATAGACAACATCTTGAACTGCTTGTCTGTGTTCAGTAAGTACTACCAATTGCCTCAGAGAGAACCATGAGAATATGCGAATGTGGCCATCCCAGCCACCAGAGGCGAAAACTCTTCCATCATTTCTAGTAAAAACTCTATTTATTCCAGGATTTTTTATATTTATGTCAAGTTTATGGGCCAAGCTTAAGTCTTTTTTGCTTATACTAAATATTTGTATCACATCTGAGGCATTGCCGACCATGCCTCTTTGTTGTTCAACATGGAAATCTACTGACATTGGACATTCTTTAGTTTGCAATTTACTGAGGCATTGACTAGTGTTGAGATCCCATAATAGAAGCCATCCTGCTTCATAGCCCACTAGAAGGCAAGGCTGGTCATCAGAAAGTTCAATATACTTTATACACATTGGATCCCCAAGCTTAGGGTTTTCAGGTTTTAGGCAACCAATTTTTTCTCCGGAAAAGTTATAAATGTATATTTTGGATTCAGTATCAGGTACAAAGAGAGTTTCGAGTTTTGTGTTGGCATCAAAACGACAAAATCCTGGATAATCAATGTCTATGGTGTGTTCTTCTTTATAGCCACTATTTGTCAAGTTGAAAATTTTGTACTTACCCCCCTTTTCTTGGGTTATCATATGGCTGTTTGTATGAATGAGATGAAGAATGGGAGCTTGACCAACTTTGATTTTTTGCTGGACCCGGTTTGTCTGAAACAATATTAAAACATTCTATTATGTACAATTTTATACAAACAAAACTAATTTGTAATATAATATATAGAGATGAAGAATGTATATATAGTATATAGAGATAGGTTCCTAAAACATATTAGATCGAAATCATTGTTTGCCTAGTAACAAAACTACTATTTTTCTAGGTCACAAAACGAGGGTAGTAAACAAAGAAAGACGCAATATATCGAAGCCGTATACGTGATGAAAAACTTCCGACGTAGTAAATATATTAAAATGGAATTATTATACTTAGAATAACTGATCTCACCTGAAGGTTGTATGCATAAACATATCCATTTTTTGAGCCGGCTAGTAACCTCTCGAGTCCGCCTGGTAGAAAGCTGAACGCCAAGGAATACACTGGCGAATTGTCGACATTTCGAATCGTATAAACCGGGTCAGGTGGTAGCAAAGCCATTTCTGGTCAAGCTCGAACCAAAATATGTAATCGGAATAGAAAAATAAAATTTTAATCAAATTAATCAAGCCATCAGAAACTGAACCACAACTACGCACAACACAAAACTGACACAAAAACAAGAAAGTTTACAATGTAATGTTTAGGGATGGAACATTTCACGAGTAGCAAGTGAAAAATCACGTGAAATGCGTAATCATACGTCACACCTGCTACTTAAATTCATAGTGGCTGCTACAAATCACAACTTGGTGAAATCTAGAGCTGTAGCAAACCGTATGTATTCGTTACTGAGTAACGGGTACGTCATCTAGTACCGAGTACCGAAACGTTACTCACGAATGCATTTCGTTACTCGCATTTTCCGTATACATTTTCGTACTGATGTTTTTATTGATTTTTTATTCAACAAAATACAATTTTCAGTTAATACCGTTGATCAGTAAATTGGGGAGTTTATTTATTTCGAGTTGCATGATTTCGGATTCTTAGAAATATTGTTTAGAAATAATTTTAAATTAGAAACAACAATTAAATTTAGAGCACATTTTTAGTTTTTTATCCAACAAATACTAATAATTTTTACTGAATGATTATGTGTAATACGTACAGACATAACCACCAACGCTGAGAACGAGCTAGAAATGTTTATTAATGAACCAGTGCTTCCGCGTGATTCTTCGCCATTAGTTTGGTGGAAATCTCACTCCTATATGTACCCCAATTTGGCGGAAATATTTCATGAGCACTGTCACATCGTGGTGACATCAGTGGAGTGTGAGAGAGTATTTTCAAAAGCGGGAAATTTTGCAACCCAAAAAAGAGCACGATTAAGCAGAAAACGAACAGCGGAACTTGTATTTTTAAAAAGCAATGAAGACTATTGTATATAGATATCTCATAAAAAAATCAATCATCAAAAAAATCAAAAAGCAAAAAAAAATGATTATAAACAAATTAAAAAAATTAAGAAAAACAAAAAAAAAAGTGTATAAAATTCTTTATAAAATTCTTATTGTACATAAAAACAATGAACTTTTAAATACGCCAATGTAATTATGGAACTTAGCTTAATACAATTTTACCGTGTGATTACTCTGATATATTTAAAATTCATTTAATTTTACATTGTCAGTCCCAAGCCTGTAGAAGTATGAGGGAAAGTTCATTGTTTGAAAATAGGTTCATTCAAAGCACCATGTACGTATGCAACTACGTCAGATCTATATCTCTGCTCCATATCACATCAGTAGCGCCATTGGTGACATTTCATACTTCATTTTAATAGCAAATAATATAAACCACAACCACATAATATACCAGACCGTCGAAATCAAAAATCTATGCGTGAAAAGTAGCAGGTGAAATCACGTGAAAAATTGTTGTAATTTCATCACGTGATAATGATTTAAAAGTAGCAATCATTTCCATGCTTAGTTTACATACCTACGTCACTGACATAATGTTGCGTTCATAAAATACACTCATCATCTATTATAAGTAATTCAATTCGAGTCGAATAACTTTATTTATTTACCCACTTATAACAAACTGATTTAACGAATAAAAATGTATTAATTATTTGTTATATTATTTTATTTTCAAGTTATAACCATCTGCACTTAGTTTGTATACTATATATTATTAATTTATAGCTGAGTGCTGACAACATTGATCATGATTGTCATTTGTCAGACGACCGTCAACCGTAGTGACAGTCGTCACTCGTCAGTTCTCAAAATTATTGTGAAGCTTCAGCTTTGTATAGTGTTTTACAAATTTATGAAGTTTTGAATGAGAAATAACCGAAGTACCTAATAATGGGTGCCATATGTAAATTAAGAATGCTAATATAACCGTCAAAATCACAAATGGCTGCGGAGACCTTCCTAAAAACGAACAAGTATTCGAAGTATACATCGTATAGGAAAATTCTGTATCATAGGTTCTTTGTCGGTCTTCTATTGTTTATTGTAGTATCTTTAGTGTTAATAGTGATATGTAATGTTTTTGTGGGAAGTGCACCTCGAGTGGATTTTCACGAATCTGTAAACTTGGATGTCATAAGATTTCCTATTCAGACGCTCAAAAGCGAATCTCGTACATCAAAAGAACGCGCCACAAACTGTACTTATTGGCTTTGTTTCAATGTATACAAATGTGGCAGAGGAGGTCATGATAAGATAACCATTTATATCTATCCACTGAAAGATTACAGAACAGGAGATGGGAAGGCAATATCCCAATTTTCTAGGGAATTTTACGAAATTTTGCATACTATAAAGAATAGTAAATATTATACGCCAAATCCAGACGACGCCTGCTTATTAGTGCCTAGTATAGATACACTGAATCAGAACAGCTTTTCTAGTAAACATGTTGCACAAGCTCTGCAATCTCTTGAATAGTAAGTAAATATAATAATTAATTTAATAGAAAAGGCTTAAAGTAATTTTCAAAACAAAATTCATTAAAGATTTGAAATAAAAAATAACATTTATAATTTAATATTATTTAAATTAAATAATAGACTTGAGTCTACTAAAAGTTACCATATAGACAGACAGCAACCATAAATAATTTCATTTTCAGCTGGAATAATGGAGAAAATCACCTTATATTTAATATGTTGGCTGGAACACTACCAAATTACAACTCAGTTATCGACCTTAACACAAGCAAAGCAATTATAGCGGGTGCAGGATTCAACACTTGGACTTTTAGATATGGTTTTGACATCTCTATACCTTTGTACAGTCCCATTGCTGAAAAAATTGATCAATCACAGCCCAAACAAAAAAACTATATGATAATTTCTACACAATTTAATATTCCCGAGGACTATTTATCAGAATTACAAAGTATAGCATCATCATCAAATGATTTATTACTGTTAGATAGATGTAAGTCAGAAAACGCAGATTTTACAAAACGGTGTGAATATACAACGGGGAAAGTATTTGATTATCCTGAAATTTTAAAGGAGGGTATGTTTTGTTTGATTGTGAGAAGTGCGAGATTGGCACAACCTATATTGATGGATATTATTGCATCGCAATGTATACCTATAATAATTGCTGACACCATTGTAATGCCTTTTAATTCTCATGTAGACTGGAATAGAATTGCATTGTTTGTACCTGAGGAGAATATTAAAAGCTTATTGAAAATTGTTCACTCCGTCAGCAAAGAGAGGCGAGGAGAACTATATTGGCAGCTGAGATGGGTATATGAAAGATATTTCTCTAGCATAGAGAAAATTACTTTAACAACACTAGAAATATTGAATGAGAAGGTATTTCCATTGGCAGCTCGGATGTATGAAGATTGGAATATGCCTGAACATTTGGTAAGTTTTTTTACTGATCAATTTATTTTGTTTATAAAGACATTATTAATTTACCAACTAGTGAGTTTTGACGCTTTGACGTTTTGGTGCTCAGTATGGAATAGAAACACTATATATACATATGTATGGTGAGTTTTGTATCCTTTACTTGAGAAATGATTGATTCCCTATACAAACTTCCACCCCCTATTCACGCTCCTAGGGGTGATTTCCGTGATAAAAACCTATGTACTTCTCATGGTCTCAAATCCCTTCAGTGGGTTTTCCGTGATGCATTCACAGACAGACAGTCAGATAAAAATTCTAAAAACTATAGATTCGGCCTTTGTATCGAAAATTATGTCTATTGCAATAAGATTTTCCAAAAAATATTTAATGTACAGATTCGGCTTAGTTACAGTTTTATTATATGTATAGATAGATATAATGTAGTTCAACCACTAAGGGACGAATTAATTATCTTTCCATTCTTTTTCTATTTAGATTCTATGCCTTCAAGCAAAATGATTACCATAAAGCTATTGTTATGACGAAACTCGACAACGTCGATGCACTTAACATACGATGTATTAATAATAATAATAATTAATGGGCAATTGGCAGATTGGGAGACCAAAATGTGTCAAGTTACATCATTAATTCTAGTTTCAATTATCTAAGTAACGACACTCCAGAGTTATCTTGGCAAGTTTCTCCAGAGCATTACATATAAAATCTGGAACAAAATCCTTTAAGCAATTCACTCGGAGGCCTAATCTTAACGGAGCAAAGTTATTTTAGTATTATTTCAAGTACTCCAATTATAATTTGGTTTTAAAAAGATACAACTCTCACCTCGGTTGGAAAATTTATTTCGACGATTACATTACGTTACTTCGTAAGACCTTGATTGTAGGATGTGCTATTAGGGTCGTCTCCTTTTTTTCTTAGAACAGTGTTTAAGTGATGTTTGTCCCCATTTCTATCTATTAATGTATAAAATGAATTAAAAAGGGATTATCACATATATTTTTTATGTAGATTAGCGTAAAATTCAAAGCGATTTCTATTTTAAACCCGCTTTTATTAGCTTCACTAGCAACTCACTAAATATGTAATCAAATCTGGGAAGTCGATTTTAAACTAGTTCTAATTATTGTCGAATCGATTTGAAACTTTGTGATCACGTGAAAAGTGGATGATAATACATTTTTTTAGTAATGATGTTTTGTATATATGATGTTTTGTATATATTAATATATATTAAATTAGTGGCTTAGCCTCGCTTCGCTTGTCTTGTTGCCTGTAGAAAAACGAAAAACACATCTATCCCATGGGAACCGTACATTTTTTCGTAATAAAAAGTAGCTGATGTGCTATTCCAGACTATAATCTATCTATGTGCCAAATTTCATCCAGATCCGTTAAGCCGTTCTGGCGTGATTGAGTAACAAACATCCAAACATCTAAAATTTCACATTTATAATATTAGTACAGACTATTGCATGACGTGATAACCTGTAAAAAGTGCATTTATCTCTAACTTTGTAATAAAAATAACCAATGAATTGCTGCAACTTTTGTTGGTTAGCCTAATAAATAAAGAAACGTGTGTGTGTACTTATATGTGCATGTAAGAAGTTATACTTCTTTGGTGTAACGAACAATAATAATTAAAGATTTCATACCGTATGTCTCAACTCACTGTTTGTAAAAGGAATGCAGCTAACTTCATCGTGTCGCTTTTTGGCTGTCGGTGTGCGCGCGCATCGTAGAAGTTTTAAGTACTCTCATAATTTTTGCCAAAAGTGCCGAAAGAAGTATAACTTCAAAAAAATATACCATTTTGCTGACCTGATGATGGAGCTAAGAGGTGGATAGTGGAACTCCTCAAAAGCTGCTAATAGAACTAAATTCAAATTCCAAATTATTTAATCAGAATTGTCACTTCAGAAATAAACTTATTATATAACTTTTTTGTCTATCATCGAATACCATACATTACAGTTAGTCAAAAATAAATACAATCGAACTGAGAACCTTCTCTCTCTTTATTTAAAATAGGCTAAAACATGTGTTTTGGAAGTAATTTAAAAGTATACTAATTATTAAAACGTAACTCGCAACTTTCTCAGTATATGCCAGTTTATAAATGAACATTATCCACTGAAATAGTACTGAAATACCAGCGCCAATGTTAAAGCATGCAAAACGCTCCACAAATCCGACATCGAATCTCGGCCTTATAAGATAAGCCCATTACGGAGGGAAAGGCATTGTGCTTAGATAAAACATGTCAGTCGTTGCCTTCGTAAAACTAAAAATAACTATTCTCGCGAGGACTACTCTAGCCTTTACGCTTACATAAGGAGAAACATTAAAAATTAATAGCGTGCGCTGTCGACAAGGAACATTGTTATATTGTGCATGTGAGCAGAGAAATTATGTGACATGTATACATACATACATATATACCCGAGCATTTGCACATCAATATGCCTTTAATTAAAACTCGCGGATCAAACGAATCGTGCAAAATCGGCTCGCCTACTTACTCTCTCCACGGAAATTCTTAATTGAGCATTATTATTTTTTTATGAACTTTCCTTGTTGTTAAAGTTTTAACAACGTCCGGGAATACGCGGATTTTTCTTTTTCTTTATAAAGGGACTAAGTTTGTTTGTTTGTCGCGCTAATCTCAGGAACTACTAATCCGATTTGAAATATTCTTTTTGCATTAGACAGCCTGAATTTTGAGGAAGACTATAGGCATATCATCATGCTACTACCCAAAAGAGCGGAGCAGAAATAATTAAATAAATATATAATATATGTCAAAAAATCGGGCAGGCATCTATATATTATTGTAAAACTAATATTTATATCGGAAGTTTAAACGCGGACGAAGCCACGGGTACTGCTAGTTGGAGTAATATAATAGTTGACCTTTGATCGATCACTTTCTGATTAAATTTTTATTCAATTACTCCGACGTCGAAATATCAAAAAATCTCAGTCGACTTGACCCGTTTATGAAATTGCGACTGTATTTATTGTTACCCTTAAAAGCTATTGTACTCTACGTACAATAATCTAGAACTATAATGGTCGATTCGTTACAAGTGAACTCGTGGAACATATTTCTTGCAATAATCATCACATCTTAACCGACATACCGTAATTGTGTATACAAATGGGAATTTTAAATATTTCACAATTGGAATTTGTTACTGCTACTATGCTCCTTTAATTTGCCAAAAAGATAAGAGTAACCCAAAAAGGTTGAAAATAAGATCAAATATCAACAAATCCCATTAATTGCAAACCAAACCTAAGTAAAGTAGACCTAAAACCATCTTATTAGATCGATGCAAAGCAAATTCAATTGCATTAACCTTCGAAACTCGTAACCGCCAATTTTCAACATCAGCACTGTAGTTAAGACGTTAAAGTAACGTGAAAATCTAAGAAAATAATAACATACTGAACTTTTCAACTATACTAATATTATAAAGAGAAAAGATTTGATTTATGATTTTATTTATTATTATTTTTGTTTGTTTTCTTGTTTGTTGTACCAAATAAGCTCCGAAACTACTGAACGGATTTAGATGAAATTTGCTAAGAAGATAGTTTGAGATCCTGGGAAGAATGTAGGATAGTTTTTATCCCGGAAATTATCCCTTAAGGGCGTGAAAATGAAGATGAAAGTTTGTATGAAGAATCAATCTAGGGATGAACCCGAGCGAAGCGAGAGTGAGTCGTTAGTAATGTATTAATCTCATAGAGTGTGACTATAAGTTTACCAACTAGCAAAGTATTTTATCTCATATCGTATCAGATCGTAGTATGAAAACCTCATACGTTACATATTAGCTACATATTTCTTCATACTTTAGTCGTACATCATCACAACTTCGCAAGGCTCGCGTAGGTTTGCGAAGTTAGATAATGAAAAATCATTTTATTATAAAAAAATTGTGTGTAGGAATAGGCTCGGTTAAGTCAAAAATATTAATGTTAGTGAGACAGGTAAATGGTTTTTTCTTGAATATTTAGCAGAAATGTCAGTCTTCATTCTCAAATATTGTTGGTTGGTCTATTTTTACTTATATTATTACGTTAAAAGTGTTCTATTTCTGAGCCTTCAATTTGGAAATTATTATGTTTATTATATTAGTGTCATGTAAGTCAATAGTTTTACCTCAGACCGCGCCCAAGTCGGTAGACTTCACAATCATCATATACGGTCGCGTGTGAAGTTAGCTTGAGCACATAAAACCACTGTTTCACTAGAGTAGGTTTTGCGGTTAAATATTTAAATTATTTACGCATTTGAATCGATTGTTAAGAAAAACAGCTTTAATTAGAACATTATTCTAGTCATTGGAGGAAGAATGATGATATTATTTGTATTTAAGCCTTTGGATGCTGGTTTACGTCAGATTTTACTATATCTCTACTAATAAATTAAATTGTTTGTCGGTGATTTCAATACCCCATAGTAAGTTTATACTAGTATATTATAGGCTATTAAAGATATAAAATTCCTATCTAATATCTACTCAAAATGTTGTCTGTCTTAATGTAATCTATCTGTTTGTACCTGTGTCCAAATCTTCGTAATGGTGTTCGTAAATGTCAATCTCTTCCTTCTTTAAGTCGGTCAATAGTTTTTCAAATAGTATGAAACCAAACCAAAATAACCTCACTGACTGTTGATGACATGAAGTATTCACGTTTAATCATGTTATTTATTTATTACCTATATTCGTGTGGACAGTATTCCTCTCGTAATAAAAACTGTTATTAGGTTATATTTTATTCTTTATTAGCGACTTACCGTAGTTACGTTTTAACGTTTAGTATAGATTTCTCAGTGATGAGATATTTTCCCATAGTAAAAAGTGTAGTAGTATATGCTGACTCGGATAATCAGTGGTTTTCTCGTGATGCGTTCCCATACAGACAGACGGACAGGCAAAAATTCTAAAAACTATTGATTGGGCCTTTGCATCAATAATAATGACTATTTCAATAAGATTTAAAAAAAAACTAATGTACAGTTTTGACTCAGCATTTTATTAGATGTTATATTACCAACTTATAAATTTTATTTATAATGATTTCCCGATTTGATTTAAAATATGTTTATTCAGATGTTAAAAATATTCTGTTATGTCAAATCGATAACGAACAGTACCTATAATTTTAATCAAAATGTGTCCTTTAGCGACATGTCTGGGAACACCTCAATGAATAAAAAAAATATTTCGTAACTTCAATTGTTTTAATTTAATATAACCCCTTATTCAGGATTTTTACCAACTATTGAAGAAGTTTTACATAATATTTTTTATAGCGTATCCAGATCGTTTTAACATTCCACTGGTAGGTACGGAACTCCCTTCAATGCGGGAGGAATCAGGGTATTATATATGCATAGTTCACTACGCTAACCAAGTGCATGGTTGACGGACTTCACATATGTATCCTTCAAAAACTGGTTAGGTTCTGTAATACCGAATGGTAATATACCAGTAAATAAAAAATACAAGGTAGGTAATAAAGAACAAGAAAAACAGTTTTAAACGTTTAATTTTATTGTGTTAGTCTACGTTAAAGATATTTAATCTAGACTTCTTAAGCGCCCTTCACGCCGGACATGGCGGTCATCCTCACGTATAAAACTGCATACTCTTTGGTTATACGGCTTTATTTATTTATACGGCTGTTTATCTAATTGTATTTATAGCTTGTGATGGAAAATAATTTAAATAAGCTTTTATTTATACATATACGAGTATATGTAAGTAATCAAGAAGTTGATGACCCTATAATGGCACTATGCATCATTGCCTTTGCCAATTTGAGTCAGATAAAAAGGAATTTTTTTTTATACACGATATTAATCACAATAATTTAAGTGTGTCAGGTATAAAAGAATGGTTATGTGTTAATCTGACTTATACATTAGGGGTTTTGTAGCACCAAAATATGTATCTATACAACAGTATACATATAATAAAATGCTGAGCCGAATCTGTACATTAAATATTTTTTGGAAAATCTTACTAAAATAGTCATTTTTATCGATACAGACGTCGATTCTGTTGTTTTTAGAATGTTTGTTTGTCTGTCTGTCTGTCTGTCTGTCTGGGAACGCATCAAGAGAAAACTACTGGACGAAATACTAGGGACGAACCCGAGTGGACGGAGGCTGAATCGCTAGTATATTATATTCTGTGTTATATTTTATTATGTAATTTAAGGGACAAAACGTTTAAGACTTTAGAAGCATATAATTCGGCGACAATTTTTTTTAATTTAAATTTCCCTTAGATGCATCTATCTTATTTTTGAAAACACATTTTTCATTTCGTATGTGCACTAAATTTATCTGTATCTGTTCAACTCTCAGTTATATGGGTGGAGATCTACCTCCGTTATTATTAATAACTAACTGTACACTTTTAGTAGCAGCAAACTTTCGATCGTTACCAAACTTTACAGGATCACCCGCTGGGCTAATCTAAAGATTGCCAGAATATTTCATCAAAATCGCATCAGCCATTTTAGAGTCCATAGGAAATATACATACACACATCTATTTTTTGAATATATGTATATAGGTAACAAACTACGTTAACACATCACCTAACTATGCGGTGAGATGAAGTCAAATAAAATTAAAATAAAAGATTGTAGCCCAGACAATAGCGGGATTTTAGAAAGACAGCTGATTTTCAGCTTCATCTGAAGGATTGTATATGACGTCATGTACGAGAGCTTAGCTATATAGAACCTCTGAGCATAACGTAAATTACTATTTGCTAAATACATATTGTAATATGAACTCAGTTGCTGCTAAATTTAGCACAAAACAAATACGTATGTAATTTGGTTACCACTGGATGTCAAACATTAAGTTAATAAGCTGTTCAAAATATGTACTAAATTACTGTCTCCACGATATATAGTGTGTAACTGCTTTATTTAGTCAACAATATAAAGTTGTTTGTCGTGATTGGTTGAAGTCCCGTGTCAAACGCAAAAGTCGATAAAGACTTTCTGTCGAGAAATTTTTAAGAGTAGCTCGGAGATGGGTTATTGACGACATGTCTGACTGATGTATGACTGAGTTGAAACTCAGTCATACATCAGTCAGACATGTGCCAGTTCTCTTTTTTAATGTTTCGTGTAAGATATTCCCATCAGATTACAGAATAAGACGAATAGAATGGGCATCTATATCTGTGTACCCACTGACTGGTCGTTAAAAAATAAATTTCTTCCGGCATCACCCAAAAAGCTTCCTTTGATGCAAATGCGCGAGGAATTATTTTAATTAAAAACAACACGTGCCGCAAGACGGTCTAATTTAAACTTTAGGAGGTCAATTTTTTGGAAATTTCTCGAAATGTACAGTAGATATTGAAATAATAATGTCTAATAGTATAATGAATATACACCTCCTAGATAATTTAGCGACAGGAAATTTAATTGGGAAATTAGTTCAAATTAATTGATTAACTTAAACCGTCTTGCGACACGTGTTGTACATATTTAAAAGATAAAAAATATTCCTCGTGTTTTTTTCATCAAAACTTTTTAGGGGGTCGGAAAAAATATTTTGAGTGACCAGTCTAGTACCAACTTATGTAAGTAACTTAGTACATCTAACTACAACTAGTCTTTTCAATAATAATAATCAGGTAGTTGAACACTATTTATAGGACATAATATAATATTTGTATTAAATATTATCTACTTCCTTCAGTTTAACCCACGTATGTATTTTAATTTAGTCCACAATCTCTTGTCATTACCCCCGCAATATAAAAGAGCACGTACCATATAGTTGCTGAATCTCAGGATTTATTCGATAGACAGAAATGAACTTTAGATATGTTTTCACCTGTTTTATAAAAGGATTTACCCTCGCTCTATTCGGATTCGTCCTAGATACGTTTTAACGGTTAGTATAGATTTCTCAAAGATGAGATATTTTCCAGCAGTAAAAAGTATCCTATACGTTGACCCGGATAACCAGCTATCATCATACCAAATTACATCAAAATCTGTCCACTGGTTTTCTCATGATGCGTTCACAGACAGACAGATAGAAACACATCTAGAAACTATAGATTCGTCCTCTATATCGATAGTAACGACTATTTCAATAAGATTTTCCAAAAAAAAATGTATGTACAGATTCGACTCAGTTATGGCCGATTTCACCAACGTCACCTAAGTTTAAGGGATCCCCTAAGCATGGTTAGGGGGCTGTTAGGGGACAGTTTCTGTTTCACCAACAGTTAGGGGTGATCTAAATGTTAAAATGCCACCTAAATATAGGTGCTAGAAATACAGACTCTGACGATGGTAAAACGAAATTTAATTTAGGGGCTAGTTTAGGGGAACTTTTAACCTAGGGATCCCATACGTAGGTGGTAGCTTATGGGATGTAGGTGAAATCGGGCATTAGAGTTTTATTATATGTATAGATGAAAGATATTTGCTCAGACCGTGTTAATTATTAAACACACTGTAGTCCATTTCTGTTGGTGTCGTAATTAATATCTTTAACGATCAATAGACGGTGCTGAATAAAATGTAATCGAGCTATATATGCGGAGTATATATTTTTAATTTACCATTTTATATAATTAAATCGAATGTAAAACTAAAGTTTTGATTTGCTAATATATGTATTTACATCAATGGGTTAGTTTTACCGGTGAGGTATTAACCTCTTGCAGGTTATCGACGTTACGTACGACGTAATGACTAACGAACACATACTGTTGCGTTTCGTTAGAACTCCTCGGAACAAGTTCAAATCCGATGTTTTTATTAGTGGCTATTGATAAATACCACTGATCAACTCGATGGTACCTGTGCCCTGTATATTATCAATCACATTACCTGCAATAGTAAAATTTGTATTAGATAGATGGAAGAAGTAGGCTTGTAGTAATAAGCTTAAATAGCTTTAGTAATAAGTATTACTTATATTTTCATAAAGCTAATAGGTACAAATATTTTGATAAAATGCAATATTGTCAACTATAAGGCGATACGTTTGGCTCAGTTTGTAGTGACCCTACTTGCTGTGCTAGCGGTCGCGGGTTCGAGTCCCGCTAGGGGCATCCATTTGTATATCTGTACGAATGTTTGTACTCCAGTCATGGGTGTTTAAATTTATAATATGTATATATTTAAAGTTATGTATGTGTAGTGTATTATTAACTATCAACTAACTGGTATCCATATCACAAGCCTCGTAGCTTACCATGGAACTAGATGGTCCTGTCCCAACATATTTATTTATTTAATTATACATTTTTGGTATCTGGTTTCTCATTTGTTATTTTTCCACAGTATGGTCCAGTAAACCCTCTATTCTTGCCGGTCACCGCACCGAAATCGCCAGGCTTCACAGCGGTTATACTCACTTATGACCGTGTGGACAGTTTGTTCACACTTGTAAGGAAGCTAGTGAGAACTCCGAGTCTAGCGAAGATCCTCGTTGTGTGGAACAATCAAAAGAAACAACCGCCGCCATGTAAGTATTTATCGTAGTTTGCTACATGTTTTTTCACTATTATAGCAAATTTCGTGTTTGTTATATTAATGAAAAAAAATATACAAAAAACTGAAAATTTGATATTTTCTAATAAGCTTTGTCTTCAATCTCACACTTTTTTTATTTTCCTACCGATGATGTAAATGCAAAAGTACCGGCTTATTAGCTTTTACTTTTACTGCATAACCTAACAGAAGATGGAATATGAGACAGAAATACATAAATTGCATTCTGGAAATAGATTTGCTTCCAATAAATTAAGTTTTTCAACTCGAAAATGTCAATTTTGTCTGGATTTTGATTTCAATTGACATGCTTATTTGTATCCATCTAGGATATAAAATTAATAATTTTTAAATATAACATGCAGTAGCGACGACTTCAATTTCAAAGATTTTTTTGAAGTGAAAACTTCTTAGTAAATTCGTGTAAGTCGTCATCGACATGATCACGTGACGTGTTAACGCTAACACTCAGAGTGCCGATAGATGTCAAAACCAGATAAATGAAAACAGTTTTAATTTACAAAATTTTAGTTTAATTCCTCTCCGACCGCGGTCACGCCGGCGTTACAGTTAACAATAGGTTTCTTAGAAATTTAATTAATTTCTTAGAAATTTACCCTGTTATGATCAAACAATTAATTTGAATATCTAAAAATAACTGTTTGTTTATAGTTATAAGTTTTCACTTCATTAGGTAGTCCTCATTATTGCTTTTCTTATATTTTTTTAAACTCGATTTACTACTAAAAATCCTTAATTTGATTTTTGTTTTATTTTGTGTAGCAAACGTCAATCAGTACAATCTGCTATATATATATATATATATATATATATATATATATATATATATATATATATACATTTAAATTAAAGATTTGATACAAGTGGTTCTTGAATACGTAGCAAGTGTTTATTACTCCGTTATAAACGATAATAATAAATGAGTTTGATATTATTCAAACAACGAAGTAAAGCATGTGCCTTGTACCCTATATGCTATATATGTGCCTCATGTTTATAATTTAAATATTATGCCAGGTGATGCTAACTATATTTTCTTTTCCGTTAGTTCTAAATATATGTTAGTATTCTATAGAGAAATGTTTGTACGTTTTTAGGGTTCCGTACCCGAAGCGTGCCAACGGACCATTATCTCTATCTCCGCTGTCCTTCCGTCCGTCCGTCCGTCTTTCAGAGGGCTGTAACTTATGAATCTTAATAGGTAGAGAGTTGAAATTTTCACAGAGTATGTATTTTTATTGCCGCAATAATAATAAATAATAAAAATAAATAAAAATACAAGAAATATTTTTTTAACGTTCGTAATCGATCATTTAAGTTAATGTACTACATACATACAGTAAAAGTCATATTAATAAAAAGTATATGTACGATGATACGGACCCTTTCGTGTGCGAATTCGTCTCGCACTTGACCGATTTTTATTGATTACTACATTTAGTTTCTACTTTAATATTTCTTTTCGCTATTTAACTAATTTATTAAAACTTGCTTTAACATACCTTGTTTTAACGCAGACTTTTGCTTTTATTTATAAATCTAATATAATAATATTAACGACTTTTGTCTCAGACTTTTTCTGGCATTCAAAGGTTTTCATTTCATCATATACCAGAAAACAGTTCAATATATCTTCCGAAGTACCGTCAGTTGTTATGTCACCAAGCGGTCACCAATCTAGGTGTTATACCGATGGCAACGACACTTGACTTTAATGAAATGTTGAGATCGCTCAGTAGATCTAAAATCTGGGACGCTTTAAAATTATAAGAGTTAAAAGCTTGCTATCTTGCATACTTATTGAACTACGATACGATATGAATCTCATTAAATTCTACTTAGTTATCGGCAGGATTTTCTGCGACACAGAACGAGCAATGTATTTTTATCTGCTTAGTTTCGACTTGTTTCGAACGTACCATTATGTAAATCACTGGCTATTGATCAATATGACTGCTAAGAATACTCGATGGCAGCAAGCGGGCACGTTTTTTGTCTAATATAACAAAATTCTTTTCGCTAATTCTGTTTTGAGTCCGTTTATGTTTTATTTCATTACGGTATATTGAAGTGACATATTACCACATTAAAACTCCTTTCTGGCTTCGTCAATTATTATTTTTTTCGCATATAACCTTTCTTGGACAGATATTTAATATAGTAGTCAATGTCCTTTAAATGTAGATTCGAAACGTCGGGAACCAAAAATTAAAATAAATCCGCGAAAAAATCCGAAAAGACAGTTTTATTAAGCATGGCAAATATTCGCGTAAATCTAATAAAGTATTAAATAATTAGGATTACATATTATCTAAAAACGTATGTTAAAAAAGTACGTTAGAATCTAAAAACTAAAAATGCTCGAATTTGTTGAAGTGTTAAGGCATGAAGAGATGGTAAACAAAGAAAAAAATCATTTTTGTACAACTGTAATATTGGTATTACTGGCTTACTATATACAGCAAGTCTGTTTCAGATATCGATATCATTATCTAATGCCTCGCTACTCCTTGATCTAAAATGTTTCAATTACTTATTAATTATTATATAGGTATTAAAACATCGTCAAATTTACAAAATTATTTTTTACATCTATACATATATTATAAAGAGGTAAAGTATGTGAGTTTGTGACGTTGTAGGGGGTAATCTCTGGATTTACTGAACCGATTTAGATGAAATTTGGTAAAAAGATAGTTTAGAACCCTGGGACATAGGTTACTTTTTATTTTCGAAATCATCCCTTATGGGGGTGAAAATGGCGATCAAAGTTTGCATTGGTAAGCAAGCTAGGAACGAACACGAGCGAAGCAAGAGTCAGTCGCTAGTATTCAGATAAACTTATGTAAGCAGACATTGTTTTTTTCATTTCTAACAAAATGGTATAAATATATTTTCCCCTCCTCAATTTGTATTGCAAATGGCCCCATAGAAAATCGAATTTGATACTCCTGCCTTGCAGTATCAAGTTAATCAACCGTCTTCGGATTGGAAGTAATGATGTGTATTCCAATAAACATTGGAAAGTATAAAAAAACCGTACTGCGTTTAATTTGCAACTTTGTAAAGAGTTTTTTTTCTCATTGAACAACTTTTGTACATCGCGCTCATCTGCCATAGTGACTCAACTTGTTATCTTGCAAGTTGGTATTTAAAAGGTCTTTGGATGGAAACTTGTAATATGTAAGTTTTTAATTAGTCTTGGATTTTTAACGGTTGAGTTCATTGAAAGTGAAACGTTTTTGTGGTTGAAATAACAGACGCTTTAATGTAAATATGAATATTTTTAAAACAAAAAATATTGTTACACGTATAAAGATATGTAGTAGTACATATATATTTTGACGACGCGTTTGGCTTAGTTTGTAGTGACCCTACTTGCTGTGCCAGCGGTCGTGGGTACGAATCCCGCTGGATGCATTTGTGTGATGAGCACGAATGTTTGTACTATGTATATTTATAATATGTATGTATTTAAAGTTATATTATATGTAGTTTATCAAATATCTGGTATCTATAACACGAGCCTCGTAGCCTACCATCGAACTAGATGGTGCTGTGTGTTAATGTTCTAACATATACTTATATTTTACTTATTTATATAAACAGACAATAAATAACACAGCGACAATGTTTATTTCTGGTAATCATTTAAAAAAAATCCTTATTTATTTGAATAAATTAATGTCGTATAGTACCAGCAGTCTTTGAGAACAATGGCTTTAATATACAAATGGACAAATGGTCATGACAAAATTACAAGTGTTTTGTTTCTGTCATTTGGCTATGGAATTTTAAAAATACCTTCGAGGCAAGTAATTAAGCTGTGAGTTACTGTGCATGTATGTAAATTATCTTTTTATCATTAATTTTAAACTAGCTTTCCCTCGCGGGTTTGCTTTCGAGTTACGATTTAATAATAGCTTATCACATAAGAGTGTCCGATTTCTCTATCTGACATTAAAAATCCTAGTAAAGTCAGATATTTTTTCTTTATTTTGTACCAAATGTACCTTTTTTCTCTCACTATATAAAAATGGCTTGTTACACTCCAATTTCATTTAAGGATATAAATATAACATCTGTTTATGACATGTTTTTCGTGATAAAGACGAAAGTTAAAAGTGGATTAACAAATACATAGAAGCGTTTCTACGCTTTTTCTTTTTGCTGTTGATGTAAAATTATAAGGATTTCTATTTCTATACCTTTTATCAACTTCATAAAAGAGGTATGAAAAATATGTTCTTTTATGTTTATGAATGTTTGGGAACGATTATAAATTGGTCCATCATTTAAATATGAGCAAAATAGACCCCCGGCATCGAAATAATACAAGTTAATATGTTGATTATGATAATTAAGTACATGTGTACATTGGCTTATTATCTACTAGTGACTTACGATCACTTCGCTCGGGTGTGTTCCTAGATATGTGCACATACCGCTACAGTGTAATAGGAAGATCTTTTTAATAGGAATAATTCTTGTTCTATGTAACATTGTTTTCATATAACTCTATTAGTTTACGCGTCGCGCGTCTGTAAAGCTCCCAGTCGGCATGATTTTTTCCGACATCTTCCACAATAATCGTCATATTTCAGCTAATTTACACAAAACCTTAATGAATTATACACCTAAACCTTCCTCATAAATCACTCCATCTATTGGTGAAAACCGTATGAAAATCCGTTCGGAGTTTTTGAGTTTATCGCGCTTATAACAGATGCAACGGGGGACTTTATTTTATAACTAGCGATTTGTTGATTCCCCATACAAACTTTCATCCCCATTTTCACCCCGTTAAGGGATGATTTCCGGGATAAAAAGTATCCTATGTCCTTCCCAGGATCTCAAACTATCTTACCAAATTTCATCTAAATCGGCCCAGTAGATCCAGAGATTACCTACTCCCTACAAACTCACAAACTAAAACTCACAAAACTACCTCTT